GAGTGCCCGCATGGTCCCCAGCTGCCCCCCCGCGGGTGATAAAATGTCTGCCGGCCCCATGGTGCGGAAGCCGACGATGCACCGGTACATCAGCACCAAGGTCCTGCTGGCCGAGGGGCGCGAGACCCCCTTTGCCGAGCACTGCCGCAACTACGAGAACACCTACCGGGTAGGGAATACAGGTCGGGACGGGTCAGGATGGGATGGGATGCGAGGGTGCTGCTCATGTGGTGGTTCCCCTCCCGGTCCCCGCAGATGCTGCAGTCGGAGATCCAGGGCCTGAAGGACCAGGTGCAGGAGCTGCACCGCGACCTCACCAAGCACCACTCGCTCATCAAGACGGAGATCATGAGCGAGATCCTGCAGAAGTCCCTGCAGATGGATGTGCAGATAGCAGCTCACTACTCTGCCGTGGAGATGATGCGCAGCGTCTTCGAGGAGGTACGGCTGGCGTGACTCGGCAGAGCAGGGTCCCTCCGTGCCGTACCGCGGCACTGCCCAGCTCCCCCTCCTCTGTCCAGGTCTGGGAGGAGACGTACCAGCGGGTGGCAAACGAGCAGGAGATTTACGAAGGTACCAGCGACGCCGTTCCCCCGGCCCTGAACCCCCTGTGCCCGCTCCAGGTCGGGGGGCAGCCGTGGCCATAGCCTGCTCCTTGCCCCCCAGCCCAGCTCCACGACCTGCTGCAGCTGCGGCAGGAGAACAGCTGCCTGACCACCATCACCAAGCAAATCGCGCCCTATGTCCGCTCCATCGCCAAGGTGAAGGAGCGGCTGGAACCCAGGTGAGGGGCACAGGGAGGCTTTTGGGGCCGTGGGTGGGCATGTGGCTATGGCTCACGCCCATCCCACCACAGGCTGCAGGAGCCCCGGGAGCCCAAGGAGGAACAGGCGCAGATGTTGCTCAAGATCTACGACGACAGCGAAATGGCACTAAGGTAGGCGACGACAAGTGCCCGGGTGCCAAACTCCCCCGCGCCCTTTCCTGGCCGTTGACCCTGCCGAGGTGCCTCCCCTTCCCCAGGGACACCTCGCCTGGCAGCAAGGAGGGGGCTCTGGCCAGCCCTGGAGAGGGCTGCGTGCCCAGCGGCACCCCTGGAGACCCTTCCCCGAAAAGCAAAGACTGCTGCAGGGGCCAGCAGAAAAGTGGGGCTGAGAATGCTGCCCGGAAAGAGCTTGCACCGTAGAGCCCAACGCCGAGAGAGTGTGCGGAGCCGCAGGGCATTCACTGTGCAAAAGCTATGCCCCGTTTGTCGCCCGGTTCCTCCTGCCTTGTGCCACGAGCGAAAGCAGGAAAACACAGCGCGGGCACGCAGCATCTGCAGCGTATCAAACGCCTGCCTTAGGGCGACTTTTTTCTTGTTCGTCTGAAAAAATAATTGTCTTTATAGTCTCCCTCTCGTGTTAGAAGTGAAATAAAAGGGTGCAAGTGTAAGTCTCCGCTTGGTTCTGTGGCTCTGGACAAAACGGGCCTGCAAGCTGAGGGCATCCAGCCACTCTTAAAACCACAAAGTTTGCAAAGGTAGGGGGAAAAAATAAAACCAAACCAAACCAACCCCTGGCATAGGGTAGAGCCAGGAGCTCACCACAGGGTCTCAGAGCCAACAGGCAGCGGAGCAAAAATACAGCCAGGGCGCTAGAAAGCGGCACTCTGCTCCTTGTGCATCTGTGTTATTTAAAAAACTTACCGACTGCTGCGGCGCAGGAGGGCAGGGTTTGACGGCTTACTCTGGCTGTTCACTAAAGATTCAGACGCCTTCCCCACACCTGGTGAGCTCCTGTCTCCTCACCGAGCTTCCAGTCACAGGATTCGGGGAAATAAAAGGTTAAGAGAGGCTGCTGGTCTCAAAAGCATTGAGAATGCTCTGAAGATTTTGCTCAAGGTGAAGTTTATCCTTTTCTTCTGGTGCCAACACATCCCTGCCTTGGGCAGACCCTGCCGTCGCACAGCTGGAACCAGGGTCAGAGCTAGCGCTGGCACACTCTCACAAATTAGGATCAAGGTACATTTACTGCAAAGAATAACTTGAGAATAAAACTTAGTTTTCATCACCAGCTCACGTCAAACCCAAGTGACAATCGCTTTGTTTGTTTGTTTCAAAGTACACTCGCACATGTTCACGGCAGAAACGTTAACGCCTACAAAAATATTAGTTAAAAATTAACTTGCCCGATGCACTTTGGCTACAACAGCAGGTCGCAGCTTCTATGAAGACACGCGTTGGTGGCACAAAAAAGCCTGAGCAGGAGCATAGGAGTGACTCCGCAGAGAAATCGGCGCTATCTGGCTGGTGTGTTTTCACGTTTGCTCTTTTCTCCCAAGCAAAAACCATGCTTGGTATTACCAGCGAGGGTGTTAAGCTGATGCTCTGTGCAGAACGCACTCCGCAGTACAAGGCAAACTCGGCGGAGGAAGGACTCTGCATCAGTTAAGCGAGACAAGATGGAGAATTTGCCCTATCCCTGTGGCTGTGCAGCCCCACAAGTCACTGTGAGTCACTGTTGTGCTTCAATGCAACATTGGAGTGTTCTGAAAACCCACTGCGAATTATAAAAGTAAGGATTCTAGTTTTGGTGATGTCACCGGCACCTCAAGAGATCTCCAAATAACCACCAGACATAAGTTGGCAATATTTTTTCTTGTTTTTTTTATAAAAAAAAAAGAAAAAAACAAACCAAACAACCAAAACCAAAGCAAATTCCATCAGTGCCCCCTTTCCTGAGCCACACCACAGCACCTTCACCAAGGAACACCGCAAGCCCGAAGTGTAAACTGACAAGCAACTAGTTTCCATTCCAGCTAGGAAGAATAATGCAAAACTCAAGAAAACAGTGAACCTCTTTGGTATATAACGACAGAATAAGTTATACCACAAAGCTCGAGTAGGAACCATTTCCAAAATGGTAACGTTTAAAATAGCGTTAGCTAGACAAACTTTTTTCCTGTTTGGAGAATTTCCCTAGAAGCATCTCCTAGTTGTGCCAACATCCCAGCAGGCAAGCATCTCGAGTGCTAAAGCCCTCGGCAAGCTCAACAGCTGCGGTTCTTTCCCAACCCAAAATCCTGGGATGTCTGCAGGATGGAGGCAGCCTGGCAGGATAGGAAGCAGCGTGATTTGGAAGCAGGAAGAGGGAAGAGGTGGTGGCAGGGAGGCTCGGGAAGGCAGCGGCTGAAACAGTGACTCCTGAATTCGCAGCAGCAGCCGAGGGAGGAGGGAGTGGGCTCGCTCTCCTGCCATGTTTCAGAGACGCTCGCGATCCAGCGGCATGAGGCGAGCAGAAGAATCCTCCCTGTGAATGTTAACACCCGGGAGGGAACCGACTGGTACCGCGCTGCCAGCTCTCCGGCAAGCAGAGGGTAGGTAGTCCCTGCACCTGAAAAGCAGAGAGCTGGAGGCTTGCTCCTGCGAGCTGCCTGAGCGCCAGCTTGCAGAATCTGACCTAAAGAGATTAAAGCCACACTGCCCGCTCACAAGGTCAAACAGCTTTAAAATCGAATTATGCCATAGGAACAACTCGCTGACCGGCACCTCTCCCGCGGAGGGGCAGAGCTGTTCTCTGGAAGAATCAGTCTGGACGTGTTTCAGTACAGTTTAGCTGCTGCAGGCAGGAGGGTTTGATTCTCTTTAGGGCCGCGACAGGCTAAGTTATCTAGAAGATCCCTGAATGTGCAAGGAAGGATTTATCTTGAGGAGGACAAACAAGCTTCTGATCTGCTAGTGACCCAGCAGGTCACTCAGCTCCTCAGCCCTTCGCCAGCTCCTCCTGGGTGGCTGGGAAATACCGACGAGCTACTCCCAGCACCGGTGCCACACATCGTCCCTTGCCCCACGGCACCTGGACCTGGGCATTCATTCAGCCAGTCTGGATTTCACCCACATTACAGTTCCACTTTGACTCCTCTAATAAAAGGGAGACCTGACGGCACCTTCCTTTTGTACTCCAGGTACTCTTCTCCAAAGAAGTGAATGAGCGTGATCTCCTCCTCCTCAATCCGTTCCCTGAAGAAGCGCCAGGACGCCAGCGTGTAGCCCACCACACAGATGGGATTGCAGAGTAACACCTGCAAACAGACACCGGCAGTTAGCGTTCCCTTGCCTCCCAGAGAAACCAAGGCTGCCCCACACCCCTACATGCTAATCACCCTTCATTAAGTTTGCTAGGAAGTCTAAACGCTGTGCAAAGAAAAGATCCCAACACCTTTTGTGGCATTTCATTGTGGGGAGAAATCAGTGCTTATGAAGAAAGCGGCCCGCGGGCAGCTGCTGGCTCCTGCTGCCCTGGCGAAGAGCGACGCCCCAGCTCTAGAGAGCCCATGTGTGGCTGTTCTGCTCCGCCTGCAGTCTTTACGGTCTCTCTCCAGAGAAATAAAACCAAATGTTAACCACCAGCCAACCACAAGAAGAGCGCAAGTAAGGTAGCGCTGAGTTACGACTGCAGTTGGCTTCCAGTTTATGCTCTGGCTGGAGCCCTGGGCACTCTTAGAGGGAGTTTTCTTTGCCACCCGGCACAGGACTGGTATTTGGCAGGAGCGAGGTTGAGTCTGACTGCTTACAGAAGACATTTTGGCCGTAAGGATGCAAGGAAACTCTGGACACCAGCTTGAGGCTAGCAACACATCACCCCCCGAGCCTCTGAGGGTGTTCTGGCTCAAACCGTGGCCCCATCATCCCTGCTTATTCGACATATAAAATTAAGGCGATGGGGTCTTCCCAAAGATCGCGCGGGGCAGAGCGCTCAGGGTTTCTTGACCCCCCTGCATGCCGGTGGGAGACGTCAAAATCTGCACCCAGGCCACCCTTGCCACTGACCGCCAGCAGACTGCATCCCATTACGGGTGTGGGGCAGCGTTAAGAAAAAGACCCGGGTTATAAGACGGAAGTATCTGAGCAGGTTGTATACGGTACCTGTGTTCCAATACTCCAGTAAAACCATCCCACGTAAGACGGGTGCCGGAACCACCCATACACCCCACTTGTCACCAAAGTATGAGTATCCGATTTCTCATTCTGAACAATATGGTTGAAGTTGGAGCCAGCTGTGAGCATGGCCACTTTCCTCAGACAATCCCCAAAGATCACCATCAACAACCCTACAGTACTCAGCCACGTGATCTGCTTCAGCTCTGCAAGTGAATAAGGACGGGTCACAACAGGTTTGCACAGGTCACACTCGCGGTGCGGGGGGTCACAGGGGGTTGGGACGGTGGGCGAGCTTTTCCCCCCCACCTCAAAGCACGACAACGTGTAAAACACAGCCAGCGTTCCATGCGCTGCCGTCCCACCATCAAAACAAATAAAAATAGCATCCCCTGCCACGGAGTCTGTACATCCTCGTGGCAGATTGCCCTAAGGGGAACCTGGTGCTGAGGAAGAGCCTGGCTTTATGGTGTAGAGTAAAGCTGACGTAAAGCACAGCCAAGCGGACATGGGCAGCTCCGCAGCCCATGCTGCCATTATGAAGCAGGGAAGGAGAACATCTCCCCTCTCCCAAATAAAAAGGAAGCGCCCTAATTGGGTAAACAGCAACAGTTTTTGCCAATTTGATTTTATTCCAGGTCAAAAGAAGATGCCCAGATGTAACTGAAGCGTTGCTCTTTGTACCACCAAAGCAGCTTGAAAGACGCAGGCAGAAAATGGCTTAAGACCCGCTACACAGCAAAGATGACCGGGCATATGAGAGCAACAGGGGTGTTCCCACCAACTCCCGAGACGGAAACTGAGAGGCTTTGAGCACAGAGGGATTAAGGCCACATCAAAGCCCTCCTCCACTGCTGGCACAAGTCAGCTAAGCAGGGGTCACCAGTGCTTTGCTACCAGACAGGTGGGCCCCGGGTGAGCCACGTGCAGCCAGGCAGAGCCAGGGGAACAGCAGGCAGGGGAGTGGGTGGGTGGCAGGGAGGGACAGGGTGGCAAGGAGGGACAGGGCAGCCGACCTGGGAAGAGGAGCTTCTCCAGCGTGAACTCCACCCAGGAAGAGAGGGCAGCTAGGTTGTACTCGAAGCTGTGGTTGAGCAAGAAGGAGTCCAGAGAAAGGCTGCGCGGGTTGTTGATGGCCGTCACCAGGTACTCCGAGTAGTGGAAGAGGGAGAGAGAGCACATGTACCTGCGGCAGGAGGGAAGAAACACTTGGCAGGGCCGGGGGCCAC